TTTTCATTTCATTTGTTCACTTTAAGCTTCTGTTGCATAGTATCATTCCCGCCTCAACTATTGTTATAAATAATATATCAGCCATCTAGAAGTACTCTTATCCATAGGCAGGGCATTGTTAGAATCTGAAGATTCCAAATATAGTCTCTATTGGTTAATCTCTAGCTGTCTCCTTTTTTTAGGTTTACCAAACTTATATAACTTGGAATTTTCCTACTGTGAATATTAATATGATTGTAAGCCACCAATGCAAGATTCTTAGGCTGAAAGAACAACACTAAAGATCTATCCAACTAAGAATTTGTGGTTTTATAAGTTTGAGCTGTTTTTCATATGATTCTATACTCCATGTGTAGTTTATAAATACTAAAGCAGCTGTGGTTTGACAAAAAGAGCACTAGGGAATCAGAATATGAAGACTGAAATCCCAGCCACATTACAGGAACATAAATGTCTATAAGCCATCCTCATACTGAACTCAATTTCCCATCTTCATAATGGGACGAAAAACTTGCATTTCATGGTAAGGCTGTGAAATGATATATTTAAATGATCCTGGCTCCTGAACACTCATTTGAATTTCTAAAATTTTCTGTTGCCTAAGCTATCTTTCTTCTTTTGAGATTATTTTCCTATTTTCATGTTTGTTTTTTTAGGGTGTGTTGCAAGCTTTGCTCAAATGTCTCATGATCATTGGTGGTCTATTTATATTTAAGAATGGGACATTTGCAATGTTGGCTGACAGTTGTGTACAAATGGTTGGAGCCAGTCTACTGTCAACCTTTGCTTTGAGAGGGAGTATGGGGAAGACCAATTGTTAGGTCAGGAGCTTATAAATGCCACAGTTGTTGGATGAATGTACTCTAAACAATTTATTCAGTTTTGAAAGAAAAGGCATTTTCACTTTATACAGAGAATAAACGCTTAACTGCCAGACATTTTAACATATGGGGGTGAGAAGTTTTCAGAAAATTAGTTGATTCTAAACAGGCTTATATTTTCCATTAATACCTGTTTTTTTTTTCTTTTTACCCAACATATTATTCTCCCTCTGGTCTTTATAAGATGCTGAAGTACATTTGGCCTTCAGGAGCTCAGGCTCCTTCAAGCCTTATTCTATGGTGTGTTTCCCATCATTCTGCTTCACTAATAACAGGAGGATCAAGCAAATATCTGTCAGCTTTCAGAGAGAACAAACCTATCACACACAAAGGAGCAGCAACTAGAATGATTTGTCTTCTCAAAAGCAATAAATAGAAGTTAGAAGATAATGGGACAGTGTTTTCAAAATTCAGAAGGAAAATTATATGAAACACAGAATTCTGTTCTGAGCCTATGAATTTTATTTGAAGGTAGAATAAAGATATTTTTAAAATATCTAACGTCTTGTATAACTTCTGGTAAATCTCCATCAAAAAGACAAAATTCGCCTGTACTGGTACTTATAATCCTAGCTACTTAGAGATGAGATATGAGGATTGCAGTTCAAAGCCAGCCTGGACAGGAAAGTTCTTGAGACTCATCTCCAGTACACTACTCAGAAAATGCTGGAAGTAGTGCTATGGCTCAAGTGGTAGAGCGCTAGCCTTGAGGACAAAGAGGCTCAGGGACAGAGTCCAGACCCTGAGTTCAAGCCCCAGGACCGGCCAAAAAAAAAAAAAAAAGACCAAGTAAACCAAACCAAAGAAGGCAGGAGATATTGGAAAGAGGAGATCCACTGTGAAAAAATGTTGAAAGTTTTATTTAAGAAGACACCTATATCAGGAAGGAAGGGGAGATAATCTAAATTGACACAGGTCTGAGGGTATAGGAATGACTTCTCAAAGTTGTAATTGAGTCTGGCACCAGTGTTTTATATCAGTAATTGTAGCTACTCAAGAAACTGAGATCTGAAGATTGCAGTTTGAAGTCATACTGAGCAGAAAAGTCCTTAAAACTATTTCTACCCAGGAGGGAAAATGCTGAGCATGCTATGATCCCAGTTTGAGGCCAACTTGGGAAAAACTTTATAGTGAGATCTCATCTCAATCAGTAAACCCAGGGTGATGTGGGGTATCTTATCATCCTGGTGACATGGAAAGCTCTAGGTAGGAAGATCAAGGCCCAAGAATTGTAAAAGCAAAAGGCCCTATCTGAAAAATAAGGGATTAGGGGCATGATTCAATTGGTAGGATGCCTGTCTAGCAAATACGAAGCCCAATGATCAAACCCCAGTACTAGCAAATAAGAAGAGGTGGGATAAAGGAGCTTCCATGTGGACAGTTAATTAACTATCCGTGGTGACAACAGATGTTCTTTGTTGTATATCATAATTATCTAGTAGAAATGTCAGCATGGGGCTGGGAAGGTTGTTCAGTGGTAGAGCACTTGCCTTGCATGCTCGAGGCCCTGCGTTTGATTCCTCAGCACCACATAAGCAAAAAGAAAAAAGCTGGAAGTGGCGCTGTGGCTCAAGTTGTAGAGCGCTAGCCTTGAGCTGAAGAGCTGAGGGACAGCGCCCAGGCCCAGAGTTCAGGCCCCACGACCCGACCAAAAAAAAAAAAAAAAAGAAAAAGAAATGTCAGCAATGTGTGTAACTAAAATCTTTCTAGTGGACACACAAATAAAATGAAAACGAAACAGATGAAATTAATTTTAATAGCATGTTTAACACAACAAATATTAATTTCAACATGGAGTTAACATGAAAAATTTTATTTTTGTACTGTTTTCTAGTAATATTTGTATTCTTGAATAAAGTATATATATATATTTATATCAGAGCACATCTTAATTGGTACTAGTCACATTTCAAGTGCCCTTGGACAGTACAGTTCTATTATTCACGAGTCCTCAGTCGTTTTTTGAACCATGTGGCGGCAAGAAAACTAGCGAGTCATTGAAATGATGTCCAAATGCCCGGAGCCGATATACTCCATACATCATTACTTCCATCTTTTCGGGAGTCAGTCCGTTAAAAGTAATAGCCATATCCGAACAGCAACCTTTTACTATTTGTTGAGGGTAGCCGAGCATGGCCTCTTGAATAAGATAAGCGATTGGTTTTGTATTAAATACATTTTTCCCTTCAAAATCCTCTGCGTTTTCGGCTAAAATGCCTGCATTCTTCAGGCAGAGGGCAAGCTGCCTATCGTAGGCTAGATTCCAGATCAAATTGGGATCTGAACAGCTTTGGTCGTTAAGGAGCCGTTGGATAAATCTCTTCATCGACTCTATGCTCAAGACAATTCCTCCTTCGGCAGTCACATACTCGAGGTCTCCAGAGAGGGCGGTGTGGCCCAGGTAGAAAGGTTGCCAGGCGTCCCTGGTCAGTAGAAAGTACTTTAAGTTCTCGATGACCGCGAAGGTGGTGGGGAGGGTAACAAAGTACCAGTTGTAGTTGTCGCCGTACTTCCCAAAGACATACTTGTAAGTGTCCCTCATCTGAATCCACCTGTCGTCGCTCTTCGCTCGGACCAGCTCTGCGTGGTCGCAGTGCTTGGTCCAGGTCTTTTTCAGGACGGCCCAGTCGCTCTGGTCTTCCCATTCTCCGAGGATGACACACAGGACCCGGATGCTTCGGTTGAGCTGCGAGCGTGTCGCGTCTAACACGTTTAAGAACTCCTCTCCGCCGGGTGGGGGAAGGTGACGGTGTCTGTGGTTTTGAAGCAGACCCTCATGTCGAATGTGAATATGGCTGAGAGTAGTTAGCAAAGCCCAGGAAACGATCCCCACCAACGTACCCTTAATAAAGGATGCCCCAGGCGAAGCCATGTTCCAGACGTTGAAGACAGCTCGCGCCAAACAGGGCGCCCTGGTGGCACGGGCAGAGGAGGCCACTTCCGGGGTGGGGGTGGGGGAGGGAGAAGCTGTGTCTCTGTGGAGCACTTCCGGGATGGGCCACCACTTTATGGGCCACTTCCGTAGTGAACCTCTCTAGCTGCTGGACAGGGTCTCGATGATGTCATAGGGGGCGGGGCCAGGGCCAGCCTTAGTCTAATTCAACTAGATGGGGACCCGGGCGAGTTGAAGGCACCCCACATGTTCTGGACCTTGCAACCACTTAGCCAACAAGAAAACTTGAAAATAAGCAGAAGTGCGCTCCTAGGAAGTCAGATTTCCGCAGTTTGTAAAAAGAATTTGAAATTGAACTTTACGTGGCACACTTACACTGTTCATTTTGGTATTTGTGTGTGAATGTGTGTGTGTGTGTGTGTGTGTGTGTGTGTGTTTATTCTGAGATTCTCATATGTTCTTTCCATAATCTTATAAGAATGTAAAGCTGTGTAGTACTGACTTAAACGTATCCCTGAAGTCTTTGAATTTTTGATCAAAATACCAAGTGTAACATTTCAAGTCTTGCTTGCTTGCTTTTTCTTTCTTTTTCCTTACTTCCTTTCTTTTTAAACTTTTCTGTTAATTGGTTATTCTTACTATATCTTGACCAGCAATTTCTAGTCTACTGATGAATACTCCTGTGGTATAGATTACATTCTATCAAAATATCAAAACTTTGGCATTTTGTTTGATCAGGTTGGTTTTTTTGCTTTTGTTTTTGTTTGGCCATTCCTGGGGGCTTGAACTCAGGGCCTGGGCACTGTCCCTGGACACTGTCCCTGAGCTTCTTTGTGGTCAAGGCTAGTGCTCTACCACTTGATCCACAGCTCCACTTCTGCCTTTTTCTGAGTAGTTTATTGGAGATGAGTCTCAGAGGCTTCTCTGCCTGGGCCGGCTTCGAACTATGATTCTCAAATCTCACCTTCCTGAGTAGCTAGGATTACAAGCGTGAGCCACCAACGCCTGGCTTTTTTTTTTTTTTTTAATATAATTTTATTGTTGTTTGATCAGTTTTTAAATCTGCCAAAAGTCTTTAGCAAATTTCATTGTAAATAACTAATATCTAGTGAATTACTTTATTCTTTAGAAAGTTGATCATGTGAGATTTGAAATCTCTTTCTAAAAGGAAAATTTTAAGTTTATAAATTTTTAAGTTTTTATATATTTTATATTTCTTCTTACAGATGCAACAGCTTGAGAGACAAGTTATTGATGCTGAACGTCAAGCAGAAAAAGCTTTTCAACAGGTAAAGTATAATCTGAAAAGTGTTTTTCTGCCTCTATAATGGTTTTACTTAAAATCAGAATATAGTTTGTCAGTGCTCCAGTACATTTTACAATTTTGACTGTTCATGAGCTTGATCCATAGAGACTGAGGGGCTAGACCAGGGCCAGAATTAGTCTAGTTCAACTAAAATGGTACCCTGGGGTGAGTTGAAGGCACCACCCAGCCAACAAGAGAACTTGAAAGTGAGCAGAAATTAGCTCATTGGACTTTACATAGTACCGAGGAAAAGAGACTTCCTAAATTAGAAAATTGCATTTTCTGAGAAAATGAAATATGGCTTTAAAATAACACTAATTATAACTAAGATTTAAATACAAATATGTTCATAGCACCTTTACTTATAGTAGTAAAGGTTAGAAATATCTGGGGATATTGGGTTGTCACAGAATAAGGACACCAACTAGAAAGAAACTTGGCAAGGCAAAATTTACTTCTGCAAGAAGGGTGTGCCATCAACCGAAACTCTGGCAAGCAAGCAAAAAAACAAGCAGGATGCTCCTATTTTTTTTTTTTTAATCCCTAAACCAGCATATCCTGCCCCTTTGTTTAGATTGGCTGAGTTCAGGTTCACAATCTGCAGAAGGTTGTGGTTTAATTAACAGAATCTAAATAAAATTCAAGAAGTGCTTTTTTTTCTTTTTTCTTTTTTGTCAATTGTGGAACTTGTACTCTGGGCCTGGGCGCTGTCCCTGAGCTCCTTTTGCTCAAGGCTAGTCACAGCACCACTTCCAGCTTTTTCTGTGATTAATTGAAGATAAGAGTCTCATGGACTTTCCTGCCTGGGCTAGCTTCAAACCACCATCCTCAGATCTCAGCCTCCTGAGTAGCTAGAATTATAGGTGTGAGCAAGTGGTACCCAGCTTAGATCTCTCTTTTTTTTTTTTCTTTTTCATTTCTTTTTTTTTTTTTGTCGGTCGTGGGGCTTGAACTCTGGGCTTGGGGGCTGTGCCTACGCTCTTCAGCTCAAGGCCAGAACTCTACCACTTGAGCCACAGCGCCACTTCCGGTTTTCAAGTAGTTTATTGGAGATAAGAATCTCACAGACTTTCCTGCTGGGGCTGGCTTTGAGCAGTGATCCTCAGATCTCAGCCTCCTGAGTAGCTAGGATTATAGGCGTGAGCCACTGGCACCCAGCTTTAGATATTTCTTATAGATGGATTTAGATCATATGTGCTCTTTTGTGCCTGGATACTTTTATTTAGCAAGGTATTATCAAGATTCACCCATGTGAACATAGGCTATGCTATGTTTATCCACTCATGTACTTATGAACATTTTTTCCCCACCTTTAGACTATCATTGTTGCCATGAACATGTATATACGAGTGTTTGTAAACCTATTTAATTCATTTATCTGCATACCATTTTTTCTTGTGTTTAATAGTTGACCTATTCAAATTTTGAAATCAGAACTTGACTCATTTCATTTGATTTTTTTCCCTTTTTGTTGTGTTGATCCTGAGGCTTGAACTCAGAGTCTGGGTGCTGTCCCAGAGCTTTTTCACTCAAGATTAGTGCTCTATCACTTGAGTCATAGCTCCACTTCCAGCTTTTTGGTGGTTAATTGGAGATAAGAGTCTCAGGGATTTTCCTGCCCTGGCTGGCTTCAGAGATCCTCGGATCGAGTAGCTGTGATTAGGGGTATGAGTCACTGGTGCCTGGTTTCATTTGATTCTTAGACAATTTAGTCTATAAGGTCTCCTCCTTTTTCATTCTTTTTTGTTTCTTTTTCTTATATGTTGGGGGAAAAATGTTAATTTGACCTCTAAAGCTAGATACCTCCTGGATTACAGCACTTACAGGTTACAGCACTATGCTGTTATTTAACAAGAGGCATTTAATATTCTATATTTCCTGTAAAATACAGTCAATCCAAACATTTGACCCTCTTTCTCTTAAACACCCTTGTCAGATTGTATATTTCTATCATGATGCATGTTAGGTCTTTTATCTCTTTTTGTGTATTATATTAGCAGCTATTGATAATCTTGTTTTGATCAATTATTTCAAAGGGAGGCAATCACTTTTTGCACAATGGCCTTTATTTTTCAGAATAATTTTAGACTGACAACAAAACTGACTAGGAAGTACAGCATTCTCACGTACTTTCTCCTTTATCACATATCTACATTCCACCTAGCCTTTTTTACCATTCATATCCCACATTAGTTGGTACCTTTGTTACAATCACTGAACCAACACTGACACATTCTTATCCCTTGAAGACCATAATTTACCTTAGGGTTTCTAATTTACTCCTAGTTTTTTTTAATGTTCTATGGGTTTTGACAAATGTATAATGACTTTTATTCACCACTGTATTATCATATAGAATAGTTGTGTGCTGCTCTAAAATTTGGTGCTTAATCTAATTATCCTTTCTTGCTTCAAAGTTGCTAGAAGCTACAATCTTTTTACTGTCCCCACAGCTTTGCCTTTAAAAGAATGTTATAGTTAGAATAATACAGTACATAGACAGTTCATATTGGTTTTTCTTCACTGCATTGTTTCGTTCATGGCTTGAGAGCTTAATTCTTTTCAGTGCTGAATACAATTCCATTGTATGAATTAGCCCAGTTTATTTATAGTTATTACTTTAAAAAATCAATATAATATATAAAACCATAAAGTACACTAGATAACTATACAAGCATGTACTTGTGTAACTACCACTACCTCTACTGTATAAATACCAAGATACAGAGCATTTTATTGCCCTGGAGGATTCTCTTGTGCTCCTTCTCCATCCACACCCCTGTTCCACTAAAATTAAGTAATGCATATTCTCTTGTCTGTCACCATAGATTAGGTTGGCTATTCTCGATGTATGTATTTTTTGGTGTCCTGGATGCTTTTGCTCAATGTTTTATATATATATATATATATATATACACACACACACACATATTACCATGTGCATTCAAATTTACCCAATATTACCTTTTTTCTTTCTTTTTACTGATGAGCAGTATTTCAATGTGACTTCGCTTCAACTTTTATTCATTCACCTGATGGTGGGACATTTAATTTATCTTCAGTTATAGGCTCTTATGAAAAAAGCAGCTGCAAACATTTCTATTCTTTTATTTTGGTGGATATGCGTTCTTGTTTCTGCTTGGGTATATACCTAGGGGTACAATTGGTGAGCCACAGGCTGACTAATGTTGACTTTAATAGATGTTGGCAAATGGTTTTCCAAAGTGAATTACGGGTTGCATTCCTACTGCAGTGTGTGAAAATTCCAGTTGCTTCAGACCTTCTTGCTAACAGTTGGCATTGTTCTTTTTAGTTTTAGCCATTCTAACCATGCTATTGCTCAACAGAATGCTAATCTAAATTCTATTCCTTGGCATAATAGACATGTGTACACACAATAGCCCATTTCTAAATTTGAATTTATCTGGAGCAGAATATATCCATTTGACATCTGATAATCTCTGCCAAAAGAAAACCCAAACAGGTTTTTCTTTTTTAATTTAAATTTTACTGTAACGATGATGTACATAGGGGTTACAGTTACATGAATCAGGTGATGAGTACATTTCTTTTTAAACAGTGTTACCCCCTCCCTGATTTTCTCCCACTTTTTTCCCTCCTGACCCCCAACCCTTCAAGTTACAAAGTTCATTTCTATCATAGTTTCTAGTGAGTATTACTGTTGAATTGATTCATCCTTTGTCCCACAACTTCTGTGTTTACCCTTCCCTTCCCCAAATTAGATAAACATATATAAGACAAAGGGCACAGAAATAGAAGTCAGTGACAAAAAGAAATAAATAAAGGGGAAAAATAATGAAAAATAATTGAAACCCTCTTGTTTCCATTTCTTGGAGTTCATTTCAATAAACACCATTTTGTATAGTCATATGCACATAGCTATTGAGCCATGGTGATCCTCTCAAGAATATACTCCTTTGTTCTCACTGTACGAATGCTCAGTACTATTTAATCATGTCCAAGTGTAATTATTTGTCTCTTATTATGCATTGGAGTAACTTGTAGATTTATGGACACATTCTAGTTATTACAAATGAAGAGAAACCATGCAGCCTGTTTCTTTGGGTCTGGCTTACTTCACTTAAAATAATTTTTTCGATGTCTTTCCATTTCCTTACGAATGAGGCGGCAACATTCTTTTCTGATGGAAGCATAGAATTCCATTGTTTATAAACCACATTTTCTTGATCCACTCGTCCACTGAGAGGTATCTATACCTTGGTATGGTAAATAATACAGCAGTGAACAATGAATATGATTGTGCTTATGGCTTTAGTGCGGGCTGGTTTGTGGTCATTTGGGTAAACGCCCAGGAGTGTGATTGCTGAGTTATAGGGAAGCTCTAAGTTTAATCTTTTGAGGACCTCCATAATTCTTTCCAGAGTGGTTGGGCATGTTTACATTCCTACCAACAATATCATAGTGTTCCCTTTTGGTCACATCCCCACCAGCATCTAATATTATTAGTTTTCCTGATAACAGCCGTTCTAACTCGGGTGAGGTGGAATCTCAATGTTGTCTTGATTTGTATTTCTTTTATGGCCAGAGATGCTGATCATTTCTTCATATGTCTATTGTCCATTCTTCTTTCCTCTTCAGAGAAGTCTCTTTAAGTCTTTAGCACACTTATTAACGGGTTTGTTGTTTCTTTGAGGATTTGTTTTTCAGTGGTTTAATTTTTTGAGCTCTAAATGTATTTTGGATATGAGGCCCTTGTCTGATGTATGGCTAGTAAAGATTTTCTCCCATTCTGTGGGCTTTCTATTTATTTTGCTAGCTATGTCCTTTGCCATGCAGAAACGCTTCAGTTTGATGCTGTCCCATTTATCCAGCCTTTCTTTAATTTGTTGTGATTCTGGATCTTTAGGAAGTTTCAACCTACAAACAGGCTTTTCTTACTGCAAAAAATTAATTGAATCTGCCAAGATGGGAGGTGATTGTAGACTATAATATAAGAAACAA